CATGTTTGGAAATAGCCCATTTCACTAACAAAGTTACTCCACCATAATGGTGATAAAGTTTTTGAAAAGGGAGGTTTCAAAGCTTCTGTGTGAAGTAACTGACACTATAATCAATATAGTTCTGTCTAATCTAAAAATTATGGTGTTACAACTTTTTGTAAGTAAACTACTGCTCATGTAGAATAACATTTATAGTTAAACTGATTTTTAGAAACAAAATTATTACACAAAATTTATGCTAGTATGTCTGAAATGGAATATTGATGTGTCACTAGTATGGTTCCATAGGTCTGAAAGTTGCTTGAGGTTATGAAGGGATTAAGTGAGTTTACTGGTGGAATTTAACACGTGTGGTGATCAATCATTTGCCGATTTATTCTGTGGTGGGACTCTGAGGGTATGTTTCCACTCAGTGTGAATAGGAATTTTTTTGTTACATGGGAAATCCATAGGGATAAAACATATATGAGTATGTTAAATGTCAGCTTTTTAACTGGACAAGGTAAGAAACACCTTACTAGACTCAAAGCAAACAGGGATTAAAGTGTTATTTCTGAAATGATTTAATGTATTGGCTCTTGATAATATGATAAATGTACCACATCATCTACTACAGTATTAATGCAATACACTCAGACCTCTGTTTACATTGAAGACTTAACCAGTAGGGGTTTTCAGATGTTGTATCTAATGTTCAAGAAAATATTATTTGCATTTGTCTTGAATGAGACTTTAAATTATTACTTAAACTTTTTTGCTACTGAACGGGAAGCGGAGAAAATTCCTAGTTTGTAATGTCTCACTTGTATGAAAGTCTAGAATGGACAACTAGTTATAGTTGTTCTTCCATTTTCTCCCCATAGTGTCATTAGTCACTAGTATAACTGTAAAAATATTGAGTTTACACTTTTTTTTAGTAAAGTGTTACTTCTCGAAAAGGTTTAAACAGAAAGTGATTGGATCAAAACTGGCCCTCTGACAGTAAGCTGACTCAATTTTATAAAGGTTTTCTACTCATGAGGAAGTGTGTTTAGTTGTACTAAATCTTCCCTGGAAAAAAATACCTTTATTTGCAGAGATGCAAATGTGTAGCTGCAGTACAGATTTTCTTTTTTAAAACTAAGGTTAAGAAGAAAATTAAAATGCAAGATTTAGATACTCTTCTACCACTTTTGATACAGTTTAAAACTTAACAAAGAACTGAGTTCCTTGGGATTTGAAAATACGTATTCAGATGTGCTCTCTAACATGTGCAGTGTATTTATTAGATGGAGTACAGGAAAAGGGTAAGGAAGCATTTCTGCCTGAAATGGGTAGAACTTTGTGTCCTAGATATAATCATATTAGAGGTAAGTATATAAACATACACAAAATGACCAGTTACGTTCCAATTAATGGTTTTACAAATAAGTTAATTGAGTTCTAGTTTAGCTGTTTGGTCTCTTTGGGAGGTTCTTGTATTGCCTGTCCTCTTGAGGATACGGTGTTCTGCTCTTGTTTTGTGCTTTGGTTGTTTTGTTTAGGGGAAGATGAGTGAGACAGCTCCAAGCCTGGGCTCTTTTGCTTTGTCCAGATTCTAACTTATTTTGCGTGCTCAAGATGTGTATATAAGCTGACCAGTGCTGCAACTACTAATTGTATGGAAATATTCAGCAACTTAATGTATGTGGGCAGGTGTTGAAAATTATGACCCATTTGACTTTAGTGAAGAAAAGATCACATCCAACTGTTCTTAGTCTGAGTAGGTTAATTACAAACTGTATGCTGTTTGTATTCTGTTCTAATATGAGCCCCATTCCAGAAATGAGCTCTTGATGTGATGGTTAGCCTTGTTCAATGATTTTTCTTCATGCTGTTGCTCTTAATGCAGTGCAACTGCCCTCTCTTTTTGGAGATAATTACAGGTACCATATGTTCATCTGCTCTTTGTCTTCCATTTTGTCATGTAATCTTATAACTCTTAAGACTGTTCTGCTTCTCCATAAAGCTTCGCCTTTCAAGTCATCACTCTGACATCTCATACCAGTGACTGCATAACCTCAAGGTACATGTTTGTTCCTTTGGCTATGCCTGAGCCTGTTGTCTTCAGTTACTCTAATGTTATTTCAGCTTTTTGCCTACTTGGTCACCTTGAGGTTGCTGATGGCAAAGCAATGGTGAAGTTGTGAAATTGGCTAATGACAGACTGAACCTAAAACAAGCAGTATTAAGGTGCAGAGTTGTCTGTTTTCTGAATAAATGTGATACCTAGTAATTGAAGGCACCCTATGCTTGATCCAGATATACTTAGTTTTATGTTACTGTGAAGAAAACTACTTTTACTTAACCTTCTTTACACAGCATAAGCAGGAGAATTACTAATTTTCTAGGAGCTGAGCTATCTTTTCCGAAACAATCCCGGAGGTTGGTAGAGGGTTGATTCTTTAAGAAAGAAGATGACTGAGGGAGGAGAATGGATTGGAGGTCTTGAGCTTTACAGAGTAAGCTCCAGGTTAGTGGGGGAAACTGCTTAGTTGAGAAATGCTGCTAGTGGATCATGAGTCAAGCAGTAAAAGTCACAAGATACTGGTAGGGAGCAAAATCTAGATGCCTTTTGGATCAGTGTGGTAAATTACTTAGACAAGCATCTATTCTTCCAGCAGCTGCTGAATTTAGCAATAGTCTGTCTTTTGAGGTTGGACCAAATTTCCACTTTAAGCACTGAAAATATCAGAAGGTGTGCAGGGCACTTTAACAGTGTTTATCATGATTGGTACATGAGTAATGACTTAAGTGAAGGACCGTTATGAAGAACAGAAAGATACTCGCTCTCCTTCAGCTAAGACCAAGATTTTTGTGTTGGGTATTCGGAAAGCTTGCTAATAGAAGAACAGAGAAGATAATAGACTGCCTGGGAAAATTATTTGTGGTCCAAGCCACTTTTGAATAGTATCTCCAAACACTGCTCAGGCAAGGCATAGGTATGGGTGATTCTCCTTCAACAAAACACCTGGATCAATTCTGGCAGAAGTTCCTTTCTGCCATATTCTTCTAGCTCACTTCCAAGAGCACAGTAAGTGTGCTGATTTATATGCCAGTAGTGCTGGTTTTTTAACAATAGAATGTACCAACAAATAATACTTCCTCTATATGTGCATGTTAACCATACATTGTCAAGCTGCATGTAGCTCATTTTTCTTCAGGCATGTACAATGAGCAAGGCTTCCATCTGGTATTATTTCTTAAAAGTTAGATGATTTCAGCCTAGCTGGTTGTGAAACATTTGTGTACTTGAATATTGGTTTAGTTGCCATCAAGTAAAGTATATACTAAATAAGCCACAGCTATGGCCTCCTTAAAACACCGAGAGTACTAATATTAACCAAGTGTCTCAGAAGTGACAAGATAAAGAAACTTTCTAATATATTTTTGTCTAGAAGTGGTATGTCTTCACTCTTTAACCCATACATATTCTAATGGACAGGAGTAGTATCTGTGTTATGTACATCTTTTATACTTGTAATTGATAATGCATTTGTTCTTTCAAATTGAGGGTGCTTCTGTCAGGCCAAAGCATAGTCCCACTGGTGGGAATGTTGGTGTTCACGGTGTGTATTTAGGCTCAACTCATTAGCTCATAAAGCTGTCACAGAGCCCCTCTATGTACAGGAACAGTTTTGTTAGGATATGTATAGGAAAGGTATAGGTAGGGCAGAGAGCAACGACTGCTATCTGAGAACCTCTGGTTTTATTACAGAGTTTCTGGGAGACCCCATGAAGAGGTAAGTGAGAGAGACCTAAGATGCTTTGATCACTAGATCACTGTCAGCTCTAAGGCCTTTTTGTTACCATAGTGGCGATGTGGTGCTATTAAGTTTTGAAACTCAATGTTAAGCAGTCTGTAAAACTGTGTTGATCTTGCTGGTGGGATTGTTCTTTGAGAATCAACAAAGGGTGAATAACTGCAAAAGAAAGTGACTTTCTAAGGCTATTTTTTTAAGCAGGAGAGTGAATCAGGCATCAGGACCTCACAGGATGGTAAATTGGGGCTTTTTTCCTATTCTAGCATAGACAATGTTCTAAAGGGCTAATGGGCTTAAGGAATCAAGCAATGGTCTCCTGTTCAAATTGCAGAACTTTCTACTGTATATGGCTATGTTTTTATTGGCAAGACATATTGAACAGTAGGAGCAGACCCATAGTTGACTTTGAGATGTAGTGTGTTCATGCATTGCATGTTTGGGGGGATTTTGCTTCCTGTTACCTCTTGTCCTGTGAATAGAATGCTAATAATTCCTGGTTTATATCTAGCTATTGGGCCTTACTAGACTTCTGAAACAATATTTTGGAGAGTTATAATTTGAGAAACAGGTTTAGTAAAAGTTAGTGGTAAAATATCTAGGCAGTGTGAACTGTCAGTTGGAAAATTAGCAAAATAAACTTCTGTAGACAAGTTATAAATGGTGAGCATAATTTTACTGAAAAGCATTTCCTTTGTTTTGTGTAGTCTCATTAGATGTTTTTGAATTTTCAGTAGGAAGTACTTTGTTTAATTTTATCAAATTAAGAAACAGAAACACTCCCTTTGCTCTTGGTAGTGTACAATTAAATTCATTTTCAGCTAAATACTTTTGATCAATATCAGACTCGGCATTTATCCATGTGCTTGTGCAAACTTTATACTGTAAAAGTGATTTTTGGATTTTACGTTGTTTTAAACCTGTGGCTTATCTAAAATCAATGTCATGTTAAAATAAAGGGCTTTAATCTTTCTCAGACATGCTTATGATTAAATGAAAAAGTCAAAATTAAATACGTGTAAATAAGACTTCCTAAATTGACAAGAGCATCTTTTTTTTTCTGCCAGAGATTAGCTTGTAAGAAGTATTCTAAATAGTAGTCAGTTCAGACACTTCTCAAGGCAGAGTGTGTTTTGTGATGGCTAGCATTTTTGTATAAACCAAACCTATTCTGCAGTGCTGAATTTTGACTTGTTACCACTGTAACTTTTCTTCTTTCAGAAAGAACATTTTGCTTTGCAAAACCAGTACAGAGAGACAGATGCTGGAAACTTGCAACACATGGTAAATAGTATGGCTTGAATTCCTTGGTTTCATCTTGTTCCTTAAAATAAGCTTATAAGTATGTTCTTCATGAAGGGCAAAGCATTTGTCCATCATAGTCAGTAGCCATTGAATGTGTGAGTTTGCTATCCATGAAGTGGAAAGAGTCAATCTCATTTTAATATCCTGTATGTCCTAGATAGTTTTGAGGATTAATTTATATACATAAAGACTAGAACTTTGAAGTTGTAGTTGAATAAAATAGCAAAGCACAGGAGTGCTGACAGACTTTGTAATTTGTGTTTTGCTTTCTAGATTTCTTCAGCCTTAAAATCTAACTTCTTTTGAAACAAAAGTATGAGCTTAACTCTGAGTAGCTTCTACCACTTCCGTCATACGTCTGTCAGTGATGAGAAGTTCATGTTTCTTGATTCATAGGGCTGTTTTGGAAATCATTCACCTTTTATTTTGCTTAAAGCTTTGACAAGAATAGGAATTGCAGGTCTATACATGAACTATGAAACTGATTACTAATTGTATGTATTTAGAAATTTGTGAATGGAAGGCAACTTGCTTGTGAGGCTGAAGAGCCACAGGAACAAGAAGGTCTTCAGGATATGTATCCTGTTTATCAGCAAACATACTACAAAAATTGGAGCAGCAGATACCCGCAAAACTCAGGACCTGGAAGAGTCTACATCAATCCAAGGGAGCATTATGTATGATTCTATACCCACATGTCTTAACTTTAAGATATGAGGGTTTTAATACCTATTGACTCTATGACCCCTATGTCTTACTGGATTTCATCTCTAAAATATTTTGGTTTTTTTCCTGTTGGAAGAAATTGCATGGAGATTTTTATATAGGTAAACCCTATGGAATTTAAGGCTCTACTTGCTTTCTTTCTAGCCTTTACTATGTATTTGTTCTTGTAGTAATAGCAACCTGCCAAAAGAGTTTAGCTTTATTAACCTTCATAGTCATGAGATGTATAAATTAGACGAATTGGTCGACACATGGCCAAAGGTCATGTCAGCTGTTTCCCTGATTATTTCTGCAAGCATTCTCACTGAATGAATATTTTACAGTAACCTTCCCTATGTAAAAGTGAGCAAGAGTAGATATGAGCATGACAGTTGAATCCCTGGTGACATAAACAGTCTCGGGCTGATAGTAATTTTTTTTCATCTTAGAAAACTTGGGATAAATACCACTTTGACTGGCTTTAGCTATTGATTTCTTAACTAGCTCTACCTCTCAGTCAAATGAGCAACGAGACTACCTCTCAAATACTGACTTGCTGTTTCATAACCTATGTTGTGTGTTTTCCCCCCCTTGTTGAAAGTGAAGCAATTTCCTTACACTGGAAACTTTGTTTTATATTGATCCTGGATGTCAGTTGATGTACTTGGTGGTTGTAGTTTCACAACTGGGAAACTTAGTTGCAGGAAGTAGATGACTAGACAGTCAAAACTTCCTGAAAGCGTCTTATGTGTAGCTTCATCTTACTACAAGTTGCTATTTAGCTATTTTTCCAAGTATGACTCCCATGTTAAATCTTGCAGTGTTTGTTCTTGCTTGGTAATAAATACATTTCATGTTTTTTGGTTTCTTCTCATTTTGCAGTTATACTGCCTATGATGTGTTCTTACGTCTTAGCAAGAAAAGGAAAGCTTCAGTAGACTTAAGGTGGTTTTCAGCACTGTCGTTTAATCTTAACCAGTAATGTGAAGTAACTGGAGAATGTTCTGATATTAGCAGTCCTAACAGTATTCCTCATGAAATTTTGAGTGTGTAATGGCTGGAAAATGTGCTCAAGATATTTTAGAAAAATAAGTTTTTTCTCTGGAGTAAAAAAATAAATATTTAGTGACTAAAAAAATTTTTATATAATGTAGTAGTGCTGAAATGAGCTCACAGGACAATCTTAAAATATTTTAAAACATCAGGAAATAAGATTAAAATTTGCTGGAGGAACTTAAACCACTTCAGTGTATTCCATACACCCAAGTACAGAACAGTGGTTTTCAGTTAGATGACCTGAAGACAAAATGTTGAGGAGGGAGGTCTGTGTCATACTGAACTAGCTATTTTTACAGAATTAAACATTACTTCTGCAATATTAGTGTTTTCTCTGCAGATGATTGGATTTTTCAGAGGGAAGTGTTGTAGTTGTAGAAGCAGTAGAATTGTAAGCTAAAGTGTGCCGCAGGCAGGATGCTGTTATAAAACCTGTATTCAACCTGCATTCATCTCCACCATGGGTAAAGTTAATGAGATTTCTTTCCACAATAGGGTTAGATAAATATTTCTTATTTGCTATAGGTAGCAGATAGAAGATTCTGGCTTAGGTGCCCATGTTATGGACACTGTACAAGTAGACATTAACTGTTCTCTTACTAAGCAGTTTTGTTATATGGTGTGGATGAAGTTGACAGCTGAAGCAATGGCAGAGAAAAAGGTTGGAGAGAACCTGTTCCTATGGAGCTTTCTTTGAACTACTGTCAACTTGCTTTTCTCTTGGAGACTGAGCATGTTCATGTCAATTGAGCAACTGTTTTCAACTTTAAAACCTCCTGCTGTATTTGAGATCTAAGGAAGGGATTGTGTGCCCCAAAGATAAGATGTATTGTCCAGTAATGTCAGTTTAAGCACCTACCTCTTTCCACAAGACTTGCTTCAACTGTCTTTATATCACTGCAGCTCCAAAACACATATATTACCAGAACATGAAAAGAAAACTGTTGGCCAAATGTTTAAAAAAAAAAAATAAAATGACAGAACATCAAGATGAACTACACTGCTTGAGATAATTTGACCAATATCACCGAGCAAAATTGCATGCAAAAAATATTTGGGTGTACATTATAGATTGGTTCAAAATGGTGTTATTGTGATAATGCTTCCACTACATTCATTAGTACAATGCGATACTGATCAGGTGATCATTTCAGTTTCTATTATGTTGGCAGATGATGTAAAAAACCAATTGTTTTGGGTTCAGGCCTTGTCTACTTTTTTATTCTTACTTGCAGATACATTTTTGTTTGAAGAGTTTAAACTTTGGGGCAAGGAAGGAGGAAGGAAGAATGCTATCAACAAAGCTGTAATTGCTTTTTTGAATTTCTGAAAATAGCTTAAGAAGAAAAATGTAGTCTAACTACATTCCTCAAGTTATATATCAATAAACTATAGAAAGCTTGAATTGCAAACTATTAATCAGCACATAGTTTGCCCTAAAGTCATTAGGGAAATATGTTATTGTAGTTATTGACAGTGAGAAATGGGATTTTTGTAATCTGTTCAGGGATGTTTAGTGCTAGGTTTTTGAAGTTTTACTTGTCTTGCATGTGGCTGGATTTTGGGGGAGGGGATTTGGCTTAGAATGCTCCAAAGAGAACAGAGAAATGTCTGGGGATTAGGATTTCCTACAGAAAGGAGTATGCATATAAAAGTAAGTTTGATCTGCTTTTTTAAGATGTAGAAAATGTTGGGTTGTTTTTTTTTTTTATTTTTGTACATCTTCAAATGTTTGTATTTGTATATTGGTTTAAATAAAAACATACAAAATAAACTTTTCACCTGTTCTTTAGATTTAAGATTGCTTAAGGTATGGAAAATATGTCCACTTCCTTGATGATATGTTTCTTCCTCTCTGGTTGTATATGCAAAGCATGTGGTTTTTCCTAACAGTACCACTTTTGAATATCTGTGGTGTTAGATGCTGAAATGAAATGAGATGTCCTTTCAACACTTGTTTTATTTAAGAGGGGGCATGTAATACTTTGTGAAAATCCAGCATGTATGTAAACTGAACACTCAATTGAGGGGACAGGAGTAATTCACATTTCTAGCTTTGATAAGTATACTTGTACTCTGCTCAAGTATATTTAAATTCTACAAGCTAGTCTGATTATAGAAAATGTAAATTTATTTGTATGTCCAAAATATTTGTGGATGTAATACAATAAAAATCTAAGAAAATGTACTAACTGAAAGGGAAACACTTAACAGGAGGTTATTACAGGCCTACTGCATTGGGTATCCAGCTTGAGGAAAGCCCAATAAAAAGGTGTGATAATTCATGGAAGAGTGGAGAGACAGTTTTCACCTTCAGAGTTCTTTACTTTAGTTGCTTTCTGGCAGTGTAACTGCCCTTTCCTTCTCTGAGTGATACAGATTTGGGTGCAGAATGCTGTACTGTTTTATAGGTAAGTGCTCAAAATACAGTATAGTAACTCCTTTGATGCTACAAACCTGAAGTTACTCTTTTTTGTATCTGAACCACTGTGCTGTTTGAAGTCTCTGCATGTGAGTGCTGTAGTAACAGCAGATTAATTTGTTTTGACAATTTAGGTCACTTCAGAGATTACTGGCTGGGAGAGCTAAAGCTAGAAGCAGCAAAATGGCCTTGATAGTTCTTATCTGCTCAGCTACCTAGTGAGAGATGGCCTGGGGTATTTTATCCACTTGTGGTGTGTGTCCAGAGTTTTTGAAGACATTTCTAGTTACACACCAATGTCATCAAAACATTAAGTTTGAGATTAATCAAGCAGCCTGCATTTTTAGCGGAGTTTCAAAGCTGTTACCTGGTTTTATATAGCTGGTGGTATAGATCCTTTGAATATGGGGAAGCTTAGAACCACCTGCTTTGTACAGAAGGACATAAATGACCGACCTGGCCAGTTGTGTGAAGGTAGGTAGATAGTTATGTTCTAGTGAAGTGCTGAAAAGTTATGTAAAAGTTATGGTAAGGTGGTGACAATTGGTAAAAAGCAAAAGCTGAAGAGTGGCTGAATCTCAACAGGATAACACATAATAAAGGTTTTGATTTATTCCCCATAGGAGGTAAATGGGTTAGAAAATTCAGTGGCATTAAAAGCTACCAACCGTGTTTGGTTTATTTTTTTCTTGCTGTACAACTGAGGTGATCTGAAAATATTCATGAGCAGTGGAAAAATTGCTGCACAGGAATGACTGCTAAGAAAGGACTTAATTGAAGAGTGCTTTCTCTAAGAACTCTGGCTTTTGTAGTTTAGGCAACTTTTAGGTTATGCTGTTCAGCTCTGCTTTTAATATCACCAGATGCTTTGAAAAGTAAGAGGCCTATGATTTGATCCTTAACCAAAAACTCGACTTGTAAAGGAGCCTTTCTGTCAAAATACTGATTCAAACTCTAACAGAAAGTAAAGAATTTTTTTTTTCTGCTTTTTATTGAACAATCTGGTATTGTTCTTGGTCACTAATACCTTTAGCGAAATTGATACTGAATAAAAATGCATGAAAAATAGATTGTGAATCTTAGTAATAATTACTGAAATAACATGAAACTCAAGTAGTGATGTGTGAGGCATTTTACTCTGCACTGACAACACTTCAGTGCAGCTTTTCCTAGTCTTTTGTGATCTTACTTGAATTGATTTTGTGCTGTATCTAAATCTAGATCCTTCAGTTGCCAGTAGAAAGTATTCTCCTTTGGAGCCTACAAGTCAAGCTGTGATTCTTCTACCCTTTGTGACTAGTAATGAAGACTACAATTGGAGTTTAGCTCACTGTTTTGAGACCAAGATGGGAACAAAGTAGACTGCAGCTTGTTCACCAGCTGAGAGATTAATTTGAATTTACTGTCCAGGGCCACACACAAAATGTATAGAGTATGTTAAATATATTAAAAAGTCACTTTGAGTTTAGCCACAGACTTATATTCCAATGTGAAATGTATTCTTCCACTGGGATAAATTAGAACTGTTGTCTAACAGACTTATAGGAAATAACTTTTTTTTAAATGTGACTGCCAGAGGAAGAAGTTTAAATATTTGCTGTTGTACTGCACCTGAATTTGTTCCTGTTCTAGAAAACCTTTTGTGGTTTCTGAGTTTTTATGCCTGTGACAGTATATCAGATACTCTTTCTGCTCTTAATGTAACCTCATAATTTAGATGTCTTTGACTAAATCCTTGTCTACCACTTTTGCCTCTGGTTCCAATCCAGTGCCATGTGACTTTGGTCTATATGCTGGAAAGTAACTTCACTTTTGCATCTATATGAAAATAATAATTGATTTGAAACACTTAGCTCACAATCTTTAAGTGATAAAGAGATGCTATAAAAAATTCAACCATCTTTTTTTCCACTTGTCCTTTTCCCAATGTTCAATTTTATTTCTTTATTACTATCTTGGATTTCTGAAATCTTGCTCTTGGTGATCCTGCTGCATTAGGTCCTGTCTGTAGGGATAGTATGCCTGCAGTTTCAATTTTCCTGACATTTAAGAAGTTTCTTACAGTTTTCTGTATGATTTGAGATAGTGTGTGCTTGAACAGCTTCTTAGTTGACAGCAAAATATTTTGGGCCGGTATTTGTTTGTTTACACCATTCAGCTCATAACAAAGTTCAGAAAGTGAAGTTTTTCTTGCTGATGTATGGCTATATGCAGTATTAGGTCATGTGCAATGCAGCAGTGTACCAACAAAAGGTGCTTCAGTCCTACTGGTTGTTTGCTGACAGGGGAGAGATGGACACCTATTAAAAGATGAAGTGTGCGCTCTCCTGTCACCAGAATATATTGTGCTCATAAGAAAAGAGGAGACCACAGATCTACGTAACTTCTGAACTGCTGGAGTAATTTTGGAATAATTACTTTTAGGTACTTTTTGTGACAAAAGCTGAATGTCTTGTCAAGTATGGTAGATAAAAACATAGAGCAATTAAACTTCTGTCTTCTGTTTGACTAAATTGACTTTCAAGACCAGACTTCAGCTACTGATGTGACTGCTCCTATTAAATATAAAAACTGAAGCTGCCAGAGTTTAATCCCACAACTAACAAAGTTCTTTTATTCTTTGACATGAATTGAGAAGAAAGAGAGAAATCACTATGTGCAAATGCATTTCGATTGATCCAGGTAGCTTTAAAATTCAGATTGACTGGATAGCATCATTTGTAGGTTGATTTATCCAGGCAGGCTAAACAAATGGAAAAAAGGCTTAAAGTTTCCCAAGGAAGACTCGCACCATTTCTGGGTACAGTGCTTTGTTACTAATGTTTGTGACTTGATTTAATGTGTCACTGTCAGCTGGATCTATTTCCTGTGGCCGGGCATATTGCTAGAAGCCCTGGATTAGTAAAAAAAACCCAAATATTGGGTAAAGCAGTAAGTCTCACGTGTTTGGATGTGGTTTGTGTTGGCTCTTCAAGCACTTTTAAAATTGGCTACTAAAAAATTGTGTCCTAAAAGTCCCACTAGCCTTAACTAAAAAGCCAAGCCATCTGCTTTACACTTCTCCCTGCCCTGGAATTCAGTAATTCTTCCTGCTGGACTCGATGCCTTAAGCTGTATGGCACGATGTATCTACATACCACAAAGTTGAGCAGTCGAATTTTCCAGAGTTGGCGTGGCCATTATCAAGGCTTGTATCTGGACAGAAAAATGACTTCCAGAATCTCTCATTGTGGCATTACTCATCTGATCAGCCAGCAAAGCTCCTGGTGCCCTCTGACTTTGTACAATGGATGGACAAGCCTTTACATAAACCAGAACCTGCAAGTTGTTCTACCTACCCTCCGCAACATGGATCCGCCTTATTTCTATTCTTTAAAAGGGAGCTTTATAGATTCACAGTGTGTTTCATTCAGTTCCATTCAGGGTTATTCACTAAAGCAGTTCAGACTGAAAAGGTGTCAGACGTGTTCAAAAACTGTGTTCTGTTAATTCTGCAGTTTGTCTGTCTCCTATCCCTTCCCTACACCTCTACTCCTTCTATATCTGTAGGCTGGTTCTTTACCCAGTCATCTATTTTTTTTCCATCTCTCTCCAGGGAGAGGCAACAGACTTTCCCCTAGGTTTTCTTAGTTAAATATTTCCCACTAATAAATCTAGTTAGGGCTTTATTAAGGAGAAAATATCTGATTAGTTTCTAAAATGGAGAATAGGTTCTATGTTGTATGATACTTTTCTCTTAACCTTCTGCTCTGGCTTCTTGGAACAGTGTTAACTCATTTTTGACTCTGTAGAAATTTCAGTGGAGTTTATGTTGCATAAATTTTTTATCCTCTTTCCTGTTCTATAACAGCATGAGGGATATGGTTTATGTCTGAGTGTACATATGTGTTTGAGAAATTTTCCAAGTGGAAAATAGAGAACTTGTCGACATCATCTATCCTCCTTGTAGCTAGAAAAATGAAGAAGATACAGCATTGCAAATGGTTAAAACACCTTACGTTCAGGTGATACATGACAATAGAGTAAGCAAGAAAAAAGGTAAATGTGTAATGGACTGTAATAGCTTGGAGAAAACAGTCCTCTGCTTGTGTAAGAAGACACTGTCATTTAGACTACTTGCCTATTGCCTTCTTGAGGCAGGATAGCTAGTGAGGTAGCATGCTCAGTAGTGGGATTTCTTGACAAAATATCTTGATCTCTTGATGGTAGAAATAAGCTCTGTGCCTCTAGCATAATAAAGTAGTGCTACCAGTCAATAACAAAATACTGTTCTCTGCCAAAGCAGTGATTGACTTTTCAGTTTTCTGAAACCATTTTAAGCCCAAAGCGACAACTG